ACATGTGTTGTACTCTGTCATGCTTGATTGTGTGGAGGTTGCACTCGTGTTGTACTCTGCCATACTCTCTCGGACTACATGAGTTACCTTGCATAGCGTACATGAGTCCTTGAGTGAGCGTTGCTGGTTCCGCAACTCACCATGGCTGCAGGGCTAGGCAACCCTAATCTTGATGGCTGCCAACCAAAGAACGCAAAATTCTGTAGACTTAACTCTAATGGCATGGGGGATAAGCCTCAATTGGGTTGTGACCGTTGTGGACATGGCTAGGAGGGTCAAATCTATGCCAGTAGAGTAGAAGGAAAAGGATGATGGTGGTGGTGGATGTGATGATGATGATGATGATGAGGAGGAGGAGGAGGAGAAGGAAAGAAGGGTAATCCAATGGCCTTGGCTATTGTTGAGTCTTCATAGATCTGGGGGGATGATAATGATGATTATGATGAGAAGGAAAGGAGGTCAATCCAATCTCCTTTGTATTAGTTGATTGTTCATCCACTTTGGGGAGGTTTTGGGGACATATTGGGCAATGCACACATTGGTCATTATTGTTATTATTATTATTGTCATTACTTCTCATTACTACAAGTATTATAAGAAACAAGCATGGCCACCTCAGGTTTCGAGTTTAAAACGGCAAAAAGGATAAAACGAAATGGCAGTTTGGACGAAAGACGAGAAAAAAACATGAAACTGCACTCTGCAGAGTCTGCACAACACTAGCTCCCGCCTGCTAAACTACTGGCACCATGGCACGCCTTTCCGAGAGTCACGCCGTGCTTGTAGCAGCACCTTTTCAAACTGCGCGTGTTTGTTTTGCACATGCGAAAATAGTGATGAAAACGCACTTTCCCTTTATTATAATCACTCCTTTGACCCAGCAAGTTTATGCATTTGAAAAGATTTTCAAGAGGTTGAATTATCAATTTAGCAGCAAGACAGTGGTTTTCACAGAGTCTGAAATGAATTATCAATTTCACTGAAAAAAAGCTTAAGCTCGGGAACTGCGGTGGACAAACGCTTTTAAAGAGTTCAAAATTGCAAAAATAGAGTAGTCAATTTTAGTGTACAACTGTAACAACTCCCAAGTTCGCGTAATAGCTAAGTCAGTTGCCCAACTTGCCCTAAATCAATTTCCCGAAACAAAAGCCCTCTTCGTAGTCTGATGGACTCTCATCTCCCAACATCTGTCATGAATTTAACTTGCTGAAATTCCTTGTGGCCTCTCTCATCCACCCAACACACAAGTCCAGCCTGATTACATGCCTAGTAGCGTCAGGTCAGGTACCATGAAATCCAACTTCCTCCTGTTGACATGAGTTTCAACATTCGCAAATCCTACCCTGCAGCATTGGGAGGGCAGCATGACAGAGCCGGAAATTTATTGTGACCGGGCAGTCGTGAATGTATGCCTTTCTGCTGAGAGAGAGAGAGAGAGAGAGAGAGAGAGAGAGAGAGAGAGAGAGAGAGAGAGAGAGAGAGAGAGAGAGAGAGA